TTATGAAGAAGTGGGTTTTTAACGTTTTTTTGAAGGAGTGGTGACTGGGTGAGCATCTAATCGAGGAGGGAAGCGAGTTCCACAGGACCTTGGGGGACACCAACAGAGAGGAGTTGGGGAGAAGAAGCAGAGCCAGAGAAAGAAACACTGAAAGAGCGCTGAGAGAGGTAGGAGGAGCACCAGGAGAGAATAATATCTCGTAGACCGATATTGCAGAGGATGAGAAGAAGCTGTTGATGATCAACAGTGTCAAAAGCCACAGACAGGTCAAGGAGAATTAGGATAGAGTAGAGACCACGAGATTTTGCAGCGAGTAGATCATTGGATACTTTGGTCAGTGCCGTTTCCACAGAGTGCTTAGTGCGGAAACCAGACTGAAGCGAGTCTAGCAGAGTGTTGGACTCGAGGAAGTCAGTCAATCTCGCATACACAATTCTTTCAAGGATCTTGGATGCAAAAGGTAGTAGCGAGATAGGACGGTAGTTGGATGGGTAGTTAGGGTCAAGGTTGGGCTTCTTTAGAATTGGAGTTACAGTTGCATGTTTGAAGGGCTATGGAAATATACCAGAGGAGAGATAGAGATTGAGAATTTTAGTGAGAGGTGGAGAAAGAGAATAAGACAGAGTACGGATGAGATGTGAGGGAATTGGATCTAGGGAGCAGGTGGTGGGGTGGGAGGACTGGAGCAGAGCAGAAACCTCTTCCAATATAGCGGGTGCTAATGAACATAGAACAGCAGAGGGAATGAAGTTAGGGGATGTATTGGGAAGAAGAAAGATGAGAAAACTCTTCCCTGATTGTAGAGATCTTGTCAGTGAAGTGAGTTGCAAAGTCTGAGGCGGTCAAGTTAGTAGGTGGAGGAGGAACAACAGGGTGAAGAAGGGAGTTAAATGTGTGAAATATTCGTTTGGGTTCGCGGGAGAGTGTGGTTATGAGGGTATTGAAGTAATTTACTTTTGCAGAGGAAAGAGCCAATCTGTATGAGCTCAGCATAAATTTATAGTGGAGAAAGTCAGATGCACAGTGAGACTTTCTCCAACAGCATTCAGCAGTTCTGGAGCATTTTTGGAGGTATCGAGTGAGCTTGGTGTGCCAGGGTTGTTGTTGGGGGTTCCTGCGGCGTTTAAATGTAGAAGGTGCCATGATGTCTAGTTGAGATGAGAGGGTGGAATTGTAGAAGGAGGTTGCAGAACTAGGACAGGTGAGGTTTGAGATAGCTAAAAGGAGAGTTTGGAGATTAGTGGAGAAATGCTCTAGGTCAAGACATTGGAGGTTTCTGTGAGAGTGATGTTCAGACAGTGGTGTTAATTGGGTCTTAGGTATGCCAATGTCAAAAGTCAGCAGATGGTGGTCAGATAGAGGAAAAGGAATATTGGACAGATTAGAGGCAGTACAGAGGTTGGTGAATGCGAGATCAAGAGTGTTTCCCGCTGTATGGGTTGCTAAATTGGACCATTGCGTAAGGCCAAAGGAGGAGGTTACAGAGAGCAGGCGAGTGCAATTGGAGTTGTTGGTTGGGATATTGAAATCTCCAAGTATAAGGGAAGGAGTGCTAGATGAAAGGAAGTGAGGAAGCCAGGAAGAAAAGTGCTCAATGAATAGTCTAGGATAACCGGGGAGGCGGTAGATGATAGCAATTCTTAAAGAAGTGTGTTTAAATAGGCAGACAGTGTGAACTTCAAAAGAAGAAAAGGATAGGGCAGGGGGAGTTATGATTGGTTGAAAGGTACATTGAGGGGAGAGAAGGATGCCTACGCCGCCTCCTTTACAGTTGAGTCTGGGAGTGTGAAAGAATTGTAGCCCACCAAAACATAAAGAGGCAAGAGCAGCACTAACAGAGGGTGACAACCAGGTCTCTGTAAGTGCAAGCAGTGTGAGTGAGTTTGAGATGAAAAAATCGTGTATGGTTGTTGATTTTAAATTACTGCAGATGTAGTGGGCATTCCAGAGTGAGGGTAATGGGCAGGGTATTGTGATGAGGTTAGTGAGGTTTTGGTTTTCTTAGTGTGTGTAGAGAAGGTGAAGGGCCCTGGATTGGGAGAGACATCACCAGCTGCTAGAAGCAGGAGGAGAGAAAGGGACAGGAGGTGTGAATGGGTTTTGTATGCATGGGGTCTAGGATGAAATTGATTGTGGGTTAGAGTGAGAGAGTAGAAAAATGAGTGTAAAGCATGAGATTAGAGAAGGGGAGAGTGTAGCAGAGAGGGGCATATGTCAATGTGGATGGGGGGATGAGTGAAGTGGGTGTAAGGAGAGATTTTTATAATAAGAATTACCAAATATATGGTAATGATCAGAATCCATAATTAAAGAGTTAGATAGAAAATGTAGACCATACAAAATTTACAAAACATGCAAGATTTGATGCAAGATTTTAAATTTAGTGCAAACTTTAGTGCATCAGGTGAAGCGGTGTACAGAAGGGTATATATATCAGCCTATCAGCAAAAGGTCAGATAAAGGGGGAGAAGGAAAAACCTTCATTCAAGCCTGGGTTCTTAATTTATAGATCCATCTGCACTCTTTTTGGTGTAGAATTTTGGCAAAGTCTAAGCACTTGAGTCTCCCTTCGTTTATGATATAATATACTCTGCAGGAATTGAATTTGTCTATATCTTGCAACATCCCTTCTGGTACGTAAGTCCATTTGGACTGCACTTCTATGGTCAGCCAGGCATTAGCTACCTTGCTGTTCCTGCTGGAATTGGACTGCTTGATAAATTTAAGTTGGAGCAGCATTTTGCTGAGCTCAGTTACAATTAGCACCTTTTCTGCCTATAGTTAAGATAACGCACAAGATTGAGTTGTACCATTTATTGCTTTAATCGGCACACTCTCAGGACTTATATCTTCACGGGCTTTAGGGATTTAAGCACGATCCTACCATAGTCTATAGCCCTGTATGTCATATGAATAAGCTACTATATGGTCTCTTCTGAGTGTCTTCCATTTGGAATTGCTCTTGACACTCAATTTTCTCATGCTACCCCTTATCATATCCTGTGCTAGTGAATACATATATGAGAGGTGTCTCTTTACACACTGTTTCTAATTTGCAATACATGCTTTGCTCTCAGGATTTACCTCCATCCCTATATATATGTATATATTTGTGTGTGTCCCCAAGCTTTTAAAGGTGCAATTATTTTTAATTTGATTTAAACACTGTGGTTTCACGCTATACACTTTTTTGTATATATATATATATATATATATATTTGTTTATGTTTTGTGTATTTGGTCCCGAATAAAGTATATAACCATTAAATTATATTTTAATTCCTGAAGTTAATTCAAGTGGATAACCCTACCCCATGCTCGTCTCCGTATTTATGCCAGTTGGGTTCATGCCCTTTATTACCTTCATAACTTATTTTTTAGCATCACTGTAGGTTTAACCTACATCTGCTGCCTCTTCTCTACTTAGTTCAAACTTTGAACATTTTAGTTCTAGCCTAAACATGGCGAGAATTCGAACCAACCTAATCAGTTTTGTGAAGATTTAGTTCCACTCAGTCCTACTTGCTGAGACTATGGAAATTCTAATTCATTTTTTTCTAGGCTTCATTACAATCATGGCTAGTCTACCCAATGTAATCTCTATTTGTGGGGAAAAAAATTGTGTGTAGTCTATTTAATTAAAATATACTCATAATGATATTCATTTAAGTCAATCTAGCCTAAATATGCTAGTGATGATATTCAAATTACTCTAGTCAAAATTGTTCATAACAACAGACAATGTAGCCAAGTCTTGTTGACAATGACAGGTATTGAACAATCTACTCCAAACTTACAGCTAGACTAAAGATGAAGATAATAATGTTAATTTTAGTATATCTTATCCATGCAAGCTGAACATTATACGTTAGACCCCCTACATCGAGCAGCTAGTCTAGCTAATCAAAATTATTTTTTGTGCTCATTCTAATCCATCAAATCGAAATTTGCTCATAAAAATTAGCACGCCTGCTTTAGAAAACAAACCTTTACTGTTTATGATTTTTTTATTATTGTTGTGCATATGAGTACATTTCAAATGAATAACACCACAACAGCGTATACATTGACATATCAGTGAAACAATGGCAGGAAGAGCGTTGCACATTTTTATAATATAATAAACAAGCTTACTATGAACAGATTGACTGCGTTGCCTTAGGTTACTGCATATTGGTAAATGGCTAAGCACACATGTCAACTGGAAAGGCTAAGCAGCATGTCAAATAAGATTTACAATTTTAAACTGAAAGATAAAATAAGTCGCAAGTTTGTTGATTATAAGCTGTCGCATTAAAATTAAGAAAACACATCTGAGTGATTTCTATAGCTATAGTACTTTTGCGGTTTGCAGGCTTTAGGTATAGAGTATAAAGTGCTCCTGAGAGGTACAAGATATCCACTATTAGCACTATAGCCACTGGGTCACTGCATTGCATTGGGCCCCATTGAGTCCTGACTGATCCAATAGTAAGGTAAAGTTCTGAGAGTCAGTGTTTATAATGATCAGCAACACAATCATACTTCCATCTGAGACAAGACTGCGCCTTGGAGGACCTGTGTGGATTTGATCAGCCAATTCCCAGTGCTGGCAGGCTGCCTGCTCTGGAGGATGTGTGTCCACTGACCTGTCTGTGAGGGGGCCACATTTCTCCGGTGTAGTTGCATTACCATGACCTTCTGGCGGTGCAAGGGCATGTTCCGTGTATCAGGCCCGGGTTTCTCAAAGAGCAGGTGCCGGCCTGGCGACCCGATGATCTGCGGGCGTGGCCTCGACTCCCCCCACTTCGCAACGCTGGGTGCGTGCCGTGAGGAGGTAAGGTGGGTGGTCTGTGGTATGGTGACGCTTGTGGGCCTCCTGCGGGTCTGTCTCGTGCCGGGAACCTTCCCTTGTGCTGGGCGGAAGCTTTGTGGAGTCTGTGTGGAGTCTTTCTGGAAGATGTGTGGAGTCCGAGCCACAGCTGGGCCCGGGCTGTCTGCCTCTGTTTACCCTCCGGTACCTTTGTGTTAGGGTTCCCAGTGGGTCTTGTGGCTTTGCCTCTAGGTGTGTGGGGCTGGGGCTGTGATGCTGTGGCTGGCCTCTGCTGTCCACAACGGTCTTGGGTATATGAGATGCTGATCTTGGTGCTGCTGGTCATGTGGGTCCAGAAGTCACTGCAAATCTTGTTAAATCTGGCCTCAAAGTCCCGCATCCAGTTCAGGGTCTCTTTGTCTGTGTGCTGCAGGGAGGGCTGCCGAGTGGTGGCCATCTTAGGACCTCCACACGGTTTATGGCTAGAGTGGCTGCGGGCTGGATAGGTTGGTGCTGTGCCCAGTGGGGACCAGGATAACCCCCCCGATCCAAAGGGGGGGTAGCGGTGTGATTGTGGCTACACCTCGGACAGCGTATTCTCCCGCGAGGGATTGGCCGCCTCCTCTCGCTGTCGAGCCTGTCGTCCTGGTAGTCCTCCAGGAAAAAAGGCAGGCCAGGTCTCTGTGACCCAGATTAGTGGGTTCCCCGGAGTCCCTGTCACATGAGTTCCTTGTTGTGCCGATGCAGAGTATTCTGCTCTTTTAGTCGATTTTTGAGCTTGTTTTTTGCAAGAATTTGCAGGAGCTCAGAGACACATGTCTGGCCTGCTTGAGAGTCACGCCCCGCCCCCCCAAACCTTTACTGTTTAAAATGTTAAAATGGACATGATATATCTTAGAATGTTTAATTTGTTCAGTTTGTTTTTATGCATGATTTTGAATCATCAATTTTTCTTAAATCTGAGATTCTCGAAAAAATTACAAGATGAAAAAAGACTTGTTTTAGTGTTAGAAAATAATTGTAGAGAAATGATTTTTACGTAGTGTGTTATAATACAATCAAATCCAATTTATTAAATAAAGTACATCTAATGTAATATACATCTGATATGTCACTGAAAAGCTGCGTTTGTAGATGCACCATTGAACACAGACACTCCCTGTAATTGAGCAGTTTAGAAAATCCTAAAAATGCGTGGGAACACATGTATAACATTTTGTTTGTATAAAAAAAAAAAAAAAACATTTAATAAGTCTTTTAGGTATGGGAATTGAATATGTTCAATAAAATAGGTGAATACATTTTAATTTTAGATGTAACAACATAAATGTTTAACTCTCAGTATGCGACATAACATTGAAAGTATTGAAATGTCTTATGACCATTAATTCTGTAGATAAGTTTTTATTTTGAATTCCTCTGAACGTTTTGTCAAAATTACATAACAGTTTCTTATAGTTGGAGTGGTTAAGATGACCTTGCAGTCTTATGTTTAACTAATTTCTAATAAAGCAGGACTGAAGATGCACACTCTAAGCAATTTAACATCTATATCATGCTATAGTGGTTAGATTCCACAGAGTCTCCTGGTGGAGTCTCTCAGACAAGCCATGTTATCGAGGTGAGGCAAATTTGTCTCTGATAACACAGAAGTGTTAATTCCATAACATCAATGCAGAGGAGATGGGGCAGTCCATTTGCACAGGGAAGACCCTTAGGTTATATCGTTTCTAAAATATTTGATGCTGGGAAACAGTACTGGGGTACTCTAGGCAGTTTAGCCACAAGAGAGAACTTTACAGGTTATGCTGTTTAGTGTGTTCCTTAAAGACAGAACTTATGACCTTTTAGTCAGAAAGCTGGATAAAATCCCAATGAGTTGGTATGCAACTGCTGTGGAATATTCCCCAGTCATGAACGGTTAACACCAAAGTTAAGTATCCAGCCCGATTGCTCTGCCCACTGTCCTTCCACAGCTGAGAATCATGAAACAGGAATCCTCGCCCGCTGATTGCCTGAGTGCATCAGGCCAGGGGTAGGCAACCTTTGGCATTTCAATTGTTGTGGACTACATTTCCCATGATGCTTTGCCAGCATTTTAGGTGTAAGAGCATTATGGGAGATGTAGTCCAAACCATCTGGAGTGCCAAAGGTTACCTACCACTGCTCTAAGGCAATCAGTAGCTCTTAATTTGCAAAATTGCTTGACAATGACTCTTTTATTTTTAGATCAAATATCTGTGACCATGTGAACAATTTTTCAAGATTCTGATATCTTTTACAAAACTTCACTTTTCAGTGAACATTAGAACCATTTCGTTTTATAATATACATTTAATTTGTTAAAGGACCACTATAGGCACCCAGACCACTTCAGCTTAATTAAGTGGTCTGGGTGCCAGGTCCCTCTAGTTTTAACCCTTCAGCTGAAAGCATAGCAGTTTCATAGAAACTGCTATGTTTCACTGAGGGTTAAACCAGCCTCTAGTGGCTGTCTCATTGACAGCCACTAGAGGCCGCTTCAGCGATTCTCACTGTGAAAATCACAACGAGAAGACGCTGGACATCCATAGGAAAGCATTGAGTAATGCTTTCCTATGGACGGTTTGAATGCACGCGCGGCTCTTGCCGGGCATGCGCATTCGACACTGACTTCGGCAGGAGGAGGAGAGGTCACCAGTGCGAGGGGGCCTGGCGATGGAGAAAGGTAAGTGGCTGAACGGGTTTTAACCCCTTCAGCCCAGCGAGAGGGGGGCCATGAGGGTGGGGGAGACCTAAGGACTACATAGTGCCAGGAAAACGAGTTTGTTTTCCTGGCACTATAGTGGTCCTTTAATTTCTACAACATCAATAAGTTTCCTTCATTCATTAAAGCCATCACATAATTTAGGTATAGTTGATTTTTTTTTGTAAAATTTCATTCTGAATGTTAAATTAGAACTATGAAATAAAATCATAATATGTTTTCTAGAATAAGCTACATTAGATTGATTCTTCAACATTCGAATTCCAAATATACATAGTTAAAACCTAGGAGTTAATATTACAGTTTCCTGTTTAATTCTTTGTCGTTTACAGCACAATGGATCAAGTGTATGTTTTCCATTACACATAGTGTATGAGCCCGCACTCTGTTTTACATATTTCTTTATAGAAAGAGTCCAAACTACTCATTTTTACTGAGATTTATTCCGGATCTGAAAGAGAAGAAAATAAATTGTTCGAAAACTTCTGGTTTTGTTTATTTAAATAAAACATTGGAAGAAATATGACATTAATATGTGCAATATATATTACATCAAGTGAATGTAACAATGGTAGAATGAATATAATATACTTAAAAAAAAGATCATAAAAAAAGATCTACCAAATTCCCTAATTTTAACCACATTGTGCTAAGCCTAATTGGGAACAAACTAAACTATACTCGTTTTGTGCTCAAGCAAGAAGACTATTGTATGTTTACAGATAATATGTACGTGGGCCAAAAAAAATAATAGAAATGCTTAATGTCAGGAATATAATTGTAAGAGACTGCGTTCAATGCTATATAAATAATATACGTTTACTATGTGAAGCATGCCATATTGTCTACAGCAGGTCTCAATCGTAAAACATCAAGGAAAAAAATACCAGGTTTTAAAGAAAAACTAGCTTTCAACTTATGTAATCTTCTATAGATATAATGGGAGAATAGGGAAATGCAAGGTCTTTTAGAATCTAAAATTATTATGCTTCTTTAAACTGGGATATAAACATTATTATAGAATACAATTGTATACCTTTATTTCTATGCCATGTTGTTTGGAATTGGACTTCTTTTTAAGGGTTACTCCAACTACTGCGTGTGCAGCCAATCTGGCTGCAACGAGGGCCTGCACGCTAAGTGGGCCCATCTTAGGACCACCCGATGGTGCGCTGTGGATCTCTAATAGAGCAACCATTCCCCTTTAGTGATGGCAGCATCAGTCACTAACTAACAACCACGCAGGAGGGAGTAATCACAGAAGAGAGCATTGAGGAGGGGAGAGCCAGACTCTGTCTCCCACCACCCCAGCCAGCAGAGGCCAATCTCTGGCTTGCCTCTGCTGGTTGTTATCTAAAAGGTAAGAAACAGAAAGGAGGCTAAATATGACCAGCATGTGTGAGCCAGTGTGTCTGTGTGTATATCTGTATGTCTGTTTGTACCTGAGTGTATGTGTGTGTTTGTCTGTATATCTGTGTGTATCTGTCAGTGTGTGTATCTGCATGTCAGTGTGTATCTGTGTGTGCCAGTGTGTGTCGTTGTGTCAGTATGTACCTGAATGTATGTGTGTATATCTGTATGTATGTGCATATGTGTGTATCTGTCAGTGTTTGTGCATCAGTGTGTCTGTTTGTATCTGTGTGTCATTGTGCACCTGAGTGTGTATATGTGTATTTGTGTGTATGTGTATATATGTGTGCTTCTTTATATATCTGTCAGTGTATGTATCTATGTGTAACTATGTGTCAGTGTGTGTTTATCTGTGTGTAACTATATCTGTGTATATAGCTGTGTGTCTGTTTGTATCTTTGTGTCAGTGGGAATCTGAGTGTATATATGTGTATCTGTGTGTATCTGTCTGTGTGTTGTAACAAACCACCTCTTTTACAGGTAGGATTGTCACCGATCTTGCAGTAACCACAGCCTTCTAGGGTATACAAAGTCCAGGACACCTTCAGCTCAGTTTTCCTTTTTATTCAGTAAGAAAGCAGGTACTTTAAATAATAACAAAAACAAACAAAATCCCTTGCTCTTACTTGAGCTCTTACTAGACAGTAATTGCTATCTGCAATTGGGTGGCTTTCCCACTTACCAATTTTCCAAACAAAAGAAATGTCTTTGCAATAAACACAATATCTCCTAGCTGTCTTTTTCTCCCTCACTCTGCAGCAGGCTGCTCTCTTCTTTTAAAGGCCTGTCTACTAATTGAGTAGCTACAGGTGAGTGCCAATTAGTTAACTCTTAAAATCAGATCCAAGCTGTGGTCTGTTACACAGCAACTAGTGCTGTTGGAGCATTGGCCCACCCTGCTCTCCAAATACTCCGCCCCAGGGACCCATACCAGGTTTTGCAGAGCATCAGCTATGCATATTGCAAACTTTAACCTCTCTCCCTGGGGCATTTAACTGAAAATCCTCTGGTTGCTGTTTAGCAAATCAGGTCTGATGTATCTCCCATCAACCACTATTCCACCTTTACGCTCACAGTGTGTATTTGTGTGTAATTGTGTATCAGTGAGTGTAACTGTGTGTGAGTGTAACTGTGTGCCAGTGTATCTTTGTGCGTATTAGTCTATTTGTTAGCATGTCAGAGTGTGTTTCTGTGTATGTGTGTCAGTGTGTTTGTGTGTGTTAGGATGTGTGGCAGTATATACACTACACACAAATGCATGCATTTAAACACCAACAATCACC